CTGACATGAGATGCTGTTGGTTTACAAGATCTGAGCAGAAGTGTTAATGATAGGATATTTTGGAAGTCATTATCTCTTATAGTAACTACACATCAAAAGTGATTTGATGACACATTCTATTTTGGAGTTTTTTCTTAATTACTGGACAGTTGTATAGTGACAAGGTGGATGTAATGGTGGAAACTATGACAGGGTATAGATGTCAAAGTTTGGCTAACATGGGCTAACAAGACCATCCCCAGTCACAAGGCAAAAAACAATAATTTTACAGTGGTTATTGTGGGTTTTTTGGGCTCTTTGGCCGTGTTCTGAAGGTTGTTCTCAGCACAAATTTCTGTTTAGCTAAGGAGTGAGGTTCATTAAGAATCCATGTAGGAGAAACAAAGTTTTTCAAATTCAGATTTTGCCTTCAGAATTATCTGTAACATCACAAGGCCATACTCTTTCTTGTACGGATGCCATTTTAGTTGAATGACGTGTGAGACTAAACAAAACATACTGATTTTGTTAAAAAGGGTTTTGGTAACTTTTCCAAAAAGTACATGAATTGTGCATCAAAACTTGACTTTAACCAGAAAATTTGGAAGGGCTAGAGGCCAGCAGAGTTGGAGCCTTAGCTGAAATGTTACTGGTGTGCCTTGAGCAGGAGATTAGGAATGGTGGTGGTGGGAGGAGAAGTCAGCAAGAAAGAAAGAAGAAGAGGGAGGGATGACTTGAAGTGATTGAAGAAAGGTGGAGTGTAGGTGGTTAAAAACAGTCCAGTTCTATGCATATTAAAGGTCTCTGCTGTGAAGTCAGTGAAATTTACTCCCAAGTAAGTGAGTGTAGTTGCAGTCTTACTCTTGCAGTAACAGTGGCTAAATGACTCGGCTTAGGGACCTGAAGGGCTTTGGCAAAAAATGTGTGAAGAGGGAAGGGCTGCCATTGTCCCATTTGGTTTTTACCTGTATTGGGGTATTTGCCTTCAGCTGCTATTCCTGAGTTTATTGGCCAAACATTTCTGTTTGGAACAACACCACAATGTGTGTGTGTGTCTGAAACAGGACTGCTCATTTCAGATGAGGAGGTCTCATTTTGATGGAGCCTTTCATCTGGCCTCTGTTACCTTTGTTTGTGTCTTTCCTGAATCTCTAATAAGGCTTGAATCGTATCAGTATGGATTGGGCAGGTTTCTGTTTAAGCAAGAAAGCTTTCACAGAGTGGCCTTCTAGAGCCAGTGTAGTTGCTATTTCACTATGTCTGGTGTTTGAGAGGTGAATGTTTCATTTGGCACCACTGAGATTTGTCATGGAAGTGTTGTCTTCTTTTCTGCATCAGCATTGGGACTATGGATATGTATGTAAATATCATATTTTAAAATAATATTTTCAACGCTGCTTGCTTTATTTCCCCTTCTTTTTCTCCTTGCTGATCATTGCCCAGTGGCAGCTATTGATTACCAGGAATCACAGTTCTGAAGCATGTACACACTTTGAAATGTCATAAACATACTGTAGGCTGGACTGATTATAATTTGTGTCTCCTTTGCTGTTTATACTGGTGTCTTTCCTATTTATTTCAATGTAATGAGGAAGGCATTGAGGAGTATCTTATGGTTGCTCTGAGGTTTGGAATCTAGCAGGTGAAGGTGCTCATTCTGTGGGATTATCTTCTTTCCCCCAGCTCTAATGTCTTTTGACTCTCTACCAGTGTGTCTGCAGAAGCCAAGAGGCGAGGAGTATTATTCCGTACATGCCTGGGTCTTCTAGCATGGCATGCACGTGGGTAAAGGTAGATGAAACCTCCTCTCTTCTGCACTCCTGTATTTAGTCACTTCAGCCATTTTTTCTGTTTGTTTACACCAAGGTGCCTCCAGTACTAAAATAAATTGCCATGTTAGACATATAGGTATTTATTAAATGTATATTCCTGCCTTTCAGTTGAAAAAAATGACATCATGGGTGGCAGTATTGATAAAAACAATAAAATTATAACATTAAACAAAAGTACATGACTAGCCATAGGAAACTTTTTTTTAACTGAGTGGGACTGTTGGTCCATTGTGTTTGCAATGGCTCTCCAGAGCTTCAGTCAGGATACTTTCCTAACCCTGCCTGAAGATCCCTGGTATCTTCTTGTTGTCTCCCATCAAAGCACTGAACCAGACCCAACCCTGTTATGATTCAGAGATTAGCTCGTCTCTAGTACCTGTCAGAGCTTTGCTCAGCAACAACTCAACTTCAATGCCACAGGTCCATGTG